AGGGTATCTCTGTTCTATTTGAATGGCTTTTGAATAGGACAGTCATCCAAGACAGAAAAGAAACAATGTGATGAAGAAAAAGGGAGAGCCACAGAGGACAAAGAGAGAGCTGTGCTAATGTCACATATACATTTAATTAGGAAAACAAGTTTCTAAGAGTGCAATAATTACTTCTCATAAGCACAACTGAAATACAGGCTTTAGAGATACAGACCCCATTTATATCTCTATGTCCCTGGTATCTTATCTTTTTCTTTGACCACTCTGCAGGTAGCATGAAAACAGGGCACTCATTAGAAACTGCCATTTATTCATTTTATATTATTTTTAAACGGTAGTATAGGTGCCAGCTACACAGCACACACACACACACACACACACACACACACATATACACACACACAACTCCTTCGTACATGCCTGTAATAACTCTCATTTCCTCCTGATAGTCATCACTGTGCTAAATGGTCATCAGTTACAGCTAAGCACCTACATGCTATCCAGTAGCCTGGGACTCAAGTGGGATCTTTAGAAAAAAAGTTACAATTGTCCAAAATGAGGAAGAGGGGAGAATGGTCAAGAAGCTCATACAAGAGCCCTAGAGTACTAGTGAGGGAAATAACAGGCTTGTCTAATCAGTAATGTATGGTATTTCACAGGCTCTAACCCTAGTAATTTACATGCATGGTTCTGGAGTCAGATGGCCAAGCAAGCTCAAACTCTGAAGCTAAAGCTTATTGTTTGTTTGTGAAATTACTGACACTTTCCCAATTGTATGATACTTATTTTTCTTATTACTATGACACAGCACCTGAAAATAAAGCAACATTAAAAAATAATATATCACCCATGAGTTTGTTTTTTTGTTTTTTTTTTTTTTTGTTTGTTTTTTGAGACAGGGTTTCTCTGTGTAGCTTTGGAGCCTATCCTGGCACCGCTCTGGAGACCAGGCTGGCCCCAAACTCACAGAGATCCGCCTGCCTCTGCCTCCCGAGTGCTGGGATTAAAGGTGTGTGCCACCAACGCCCAGCTCTCACCCATGGTTTCTAAGACAAAATTAAAATCATTCAATAATGCAGAGTTTGAAAGGTGACTGATAATCAAAGGATGAAGCAGGTCAGAAAAAAGTGAGCAGCAATGATTCTGTTGGTGTATTTTGTGTTGCTGTAACGTAAAGTACTTTATAAAATAGTAACATTTATCTGGCTCACAATTCTGGTAATGAAAGGGTCAAAGACCATGGTAAATGGCTTCTTTTGAGTCCCTTCTGGCAAGAACTCACTCAATTCCTTGCAAGGGTGGTTCCTTCATGACCTAATTAGCTTATGCTGAGCCCCTCTTCTTAGGAGTGTCTCCCACTTCAAGGCCACAACACTAGGGCCAATGCTTCCAGTATATAATCCAGGAGGCTCATGCCATATCCTAACTACAACAGACAGCAATCAACTATTATTGCATCACAGAAAACAGAAAAACCTGCATAAAATAGGCACGATAGAAATTTCAATAGTTGTAATCTACTAAAAAATCAGGCATTTTAGAATTGTACATTCACTGCCTTGAGATTAGTGATTTGCCAAGGTTTAAAAGCACGTTGAATACATTAATTTACCCTTCTCTAGAAGACTCGTGAATGCAAAAAACAGCAAACAGGAAACAGCTGCTGAAGTACAAAGGAAGAGGCAAATAAAACCAGCAAGGGAGCCAGAGCATATGGCCCGAAGGATCCACTCGTGTGCAGCATTACACTTTCAGAAAAGGAACAGAGACACTATTTGCAGAAATAATGGATGGCAGTTTTCTGAGTCTCATGTTAAAGATACCATCAGATTTCAGGGGCTCAGAAAATTTCACATAGAACAAAGTACATTCACGGTGGTGAAATCAGTTAAAGGGCTGAAACAAAATAGAAAAAAAAAAAAAAAAAAGGTCGTTTTGTGAGATAAGTCTTACGTAGCCCAGGTTAGACTCAAACTTGCCATGTAGCAGAGGCTAACTCCTGATCTTTCTGCCACCACTTCATTGCTGGTATCAGAGTGTGCCACTATGGTCAGCAGGTTCTGACCTTCTGTCACTCACTGGTATCATCCCTTAAGGGCTCTAAGGTAACTAGTTCTTCCTTGCAGCACCTTGAACAGACCAACAAGTCTTCCTCTCAAGGCTTCCCAATGTTTTTCCTGCCTGAAACATTGTCTTAGGTAGGATTTCTATTGCTGTGAGGAAACACCAAGACCATGACAAAGAAAAATATTTAATTGGGGTGTTCTACATTTTCAGAGGTTCAGTCCATTAACATCATGGTGCAACATGGTGGTATGCAGGCAGATATGGTGCTGGAGAAGTAGCTGAGAGTTCTGCATCTTCACACAGGCAACAGGAAGTGGTCTGAGACACTGGGAATGGCTTGAGCATGTATGAGAACCCAAAGCCTGACTCCACAGTGACACGTCCTCCAACAATGCTGTATCTACTCCAAAAAAGTCACACCTCTTAATAGTGCTCCTCCCTTTAGGGGCCATTTTCTTTCAAACCAACACAAACATTCTTCTCATGTTTCCTACCCCTCTTTGCAATGAGAAGCTTTAAAAATAATTTCTCATTCCTCACCTACTTGAGCATCTCACCTCTAGCCCACTGGGCTCTGACTTCTGACCCTGCTACTCCCCCAAGCTTTATTTTGTCTCATAGAGTATTGCTTACTGTCCATTCTGTTTATTAACAGTTCATCACTACAAGGGCAATTTTAATTAAATGTGTTAATATATACAAATGCCTAGAATCTATTGCTATGATTAGTAGCTATTTAATCTATAATTCTTTTGTAGAATGATAACAAGCAGTCAGATTGACAAGCTTTCACTGCCAATCAATCATACTTAATACATTAATTTATTTCTTGCTGCCACAGCTGGCAAATGCTATAGGATAGGTGTTGTAAAACTGTTGCTGTAACAGCTAGGAATGCTTCTGGCTGCACATAACTGGATTTTTGATTGGCAGTAGCTTTTGAGATAATATTTATTTTACAAGCACATAACTGGATTTTTGATTGGCAGTAGCTTTTGAGATAATATTTATTTATTTTACAAATGCCCTGGAATCTAGCTGAAGCCTTTGACAGCAGCAAAGCAAGGATTCCAGCACAATCAACAACTGTTTAAGGCCTTTGTCCTTCCCAATCACAAACCTGGCATTTTCTAGTTTCAGCAGAAACTATACAGGAAGGGCATATACTTATCCCTTTATGGAGTAGATTTTTCTTTTACATGATCAGATTATGATTCTATTCATGGCAGAGTCACCTCACCAAAAGAGAGCAGAAAGAGGAAAAAAAGATTTTTTTTGCTTTACTGTAGTGATTTGAATGAGTACATAGACTCAGACATTTCAACCCTTGGTCCCCAGTTGGAGGCACTTGGGGAAGTTTGGAGGGTGTGTTCTTGTTGGAAGAAATGTGTCACTAGAGGCAGGCTATGTGAGTTTAAAGCTCGCTCCATTTCCAGTTTGCTTTCAGCTTCCTGTTCCAGCTGCCATGTCTGCCTGTTGCCATGCCTCCCACCAGGACGGACTCTCACCTCCCTGAGACTATAAATCCAAATAAACTCTTCTATAAGTTGCTTAGGCCATGGTATTTTATCATAGCAACTGAAAGTAATACACTTAGGAAACTTGATATGCAACCCATGAGTACATATATATAGCTAATGCCAAGACACATACCTACTCCCTCTCCCTTGAAAAGCCCATATGCACACTTGGCTACACCCTACTTAAAAAGAGTAGCTTTCTTTTTTTTTTGAGAGGTCCACGCTCATACTCTTGAGTCTTACTTTTCTCTGAGTCAGTATCTCTTAAGCTTTGAGTTTAAGCCTAAATTAAAATATCTTCAATAAAATTTCTAATCCCGCTTCACTTTACATGGGCATTGTGTGTATCAGGAAAATCAGTCAAATGCAAAAATGCCTTTCAACATTAGAACAATGCACAATAATGTCAGATGAATAAATCATAGCTTCTACAAGAACACGTGTCAATTTCCAAATTTTTATAACAACAAAAGAGCCACAAGTCCAAAAGTAAGGCTTCACATTTATTTCAATGGTTCAGAAAATATATACATACATATATACATGTACATATACGTCATATAATACATACATACACACATACATACATACTGCACTTGGGAGGCAGAGGCAGGCAGATCTCTTTGAGTTCAAGGCCAGCCTATTCTACAGAAAGAGTGCCAGGATAGACTCCAAAACTACACAGAGAAACCCTGTCTCGAAAAACAAAAACAAAAACAAAAGGAATCTAAGTACAGAGAGTGGAAAGTTCATTGCATTACCTAGCTACTTTTCTGTAGCTATATGATTTTAAACATAAGGACACATACTTCGGTAATCACACAAAGCTAATTTATACTGCCTACAAGTTGAAACCCTGGCAGAAAAGTGATAATTCAGAACAATGGAATTCTGGGAAGGATAAGCTTATAAGGGAGAATGTAGGGGACACCCTAAACACACTTGCTGGGGGCTGGTTACAGGTGTGCCTGTATCACAGGAGCTTCTGATACTGCAAGTATCTCTACTCAAGTATGAATGTTGGATTTTCCTTTCTAGTTATTAATTATATAGTGCACACATTTTTCTGAGTATGTATTTCTAAACTGGGAAAAGGTAAAAACAATGGAATGACATATATAAAAGTAT